TTGAAGATCGATCGTCGAAGTGTGGCTGCGAATTTTCCGGCCTCCCACTATATAAATTTAAATATCCTTAGCTTTGGACGTTATGATACGGGTGTCCATCAACTCTCAGATTTCTCTCATATATCTCACAAATACTCGGTATGGCCCGGGCAGGACTATTCTAATCCCAGAATTAAAGACTTTGTCGATGGTATTTAATTGTTTGAGTGCTTGTCCAATTTTTACACACCTTATTAATAATTTGATTTTGTTAAATCCGTCTTTAGTTAATAATTGGGCATCGCCTTTAATCAGCAAAGAGAAGACAGCCCGTATGCCATGGCATGACGTTTCAATTGGTTTGGTAAGCTTCTTAGACTTATATTTATACATTGCCGTATTTTAACCGTTTTAAATGTCCTTAACAAAATTTTAGATTGGGAAACCCGCACTTGATGTGGCTCGTCACTTTATCCAAAGGTGGAACTTTATCAAGAAAATGAAGGCTGAGAATAAACCTGTGTATCCAGTGTTGGTCGCGAAATCTGACGCTCAAAGCGAACGTGAACACCCTACGACGATAAGAAGATACACTTCCACAGGAAGGGTGGTTGATGTGCATCCGGATACTGGCACATGCTCTGTTCAAATTTTGAGAAGTAGTGCCGCATGGAGTCATGGTCTCTCGGAAACAGAAGTAATCTTTTTTGTTCTTTCTCTTATTGCTTTTTTTTCTTACAAACACCTGGTATTAACAATCACTTGTTGTATTCAGCATTCTATTCAAAATGCTTACATTGATACGATCAAGAATGCAAAACATTTTATCTACATTGAAAATCAGTTCTTTAGTAGGCATCCTTAGTCCAAATAATGAATAAAGCCAAATATGAATATTAATTAATACCTCAAATTTTTTTAGTTACCGCAACTAAAGAATCCGAAGATTACGCAGTTAAAAATCTCATCGGAAAGGTCATTATGAGACTTTTTTTTTTGGTGATGGTTGTTTGAAATTGAACAAGAACTCGAGTCTAAAGCATTTACTTATTTGATTTTTTTAGGCGATCGTCGAAAGAGTTGTACAAGCTCATAAGAACAACGAAAAGTTTAGAATCATAGTTGCCATGCCATTGCTGCCGGCTTTCCCTGCTGAACTTGATACGCCAGATGCTGGTACAGTGCGGTAAATAATATTCTCTCAACCGAAGCCTTTGTTGTATGCACGTTTTACAGGCTGACGTTAATAATAATATTTTTTATGAAAATAAAGTTTGGTCATGCACTTCCAATATCAATCTATCTGTCGTGGCGGACATTCAATACTTGAAGAAATTAAGAAGGCTGGCTGTACCGATCCACAAAGATTCATCGCTTTCTATGCGCTCCGAAAATATGACAGAATTGATCATCATGCTGTTGAAGAAGGGTTAGGTGTACTCAAGGATGAACGTAGTGCTCCAAGCTTAGTTGATGAAGTCACTTCTTCTGATCCGGTCGAAGCAAAATCTTTATTTGAAATAGATCCTTCTGGAACTTATGTTACTGAGGAACTTTATATTCACTCAAAACTCTTGATCGCTGATGACAGGATTGTGATAGTTGGATCTGGTATTTAACATTCATTCTATCTGCTTCCATATCGAACATTGCAAATACTAAAAATAATAATAAACTAACTTTCATCTTAGCGAATTTGAATGATAGATCACAGAATGGTGATCATGACTCTGAGATTGCGGCAATTATTGAAGACAAGGATTATATACAATCAAGGATGGCCGGCGAAAGGGTTGGTATATCAACGGAACTATGAAACTTCGCGTACCATTTTACGATAAAAGCCAAAGCTAAGGATATTTAAATTTATATAGTGGGAGGCCGGAAAATTCGCAGCCACACTTCGACGATCGATCTTCAA